GGGTATCAAATCGTGCCGAGAGGGGGAGGAAGAAGGCGAGCGTGGGGTCAAATTAATGAAAGAGCGGGCTCGAGAGCCATTACTCAGAAGCGATTGGCGGGGACTTAATTTGTTTCCTTTTAACAGAGAAGTTTATTTGGCATGACATATCTCCTAATTGAATTTCATTAAAGTTTGATTAAATATTTCATTTGCAATTTGAAATTTGAAATTCGAAATTCAAATTTGCTCAACTCTTGTTCAGGCTCGAGTCCAGCCTGAATTGAATCCGAGTTGAGTCCATGCCTACATCCCGCTAAAGAAAAAAAATGCATCGATTTCCGTGCAATTTGTGTGTGCACGTAACCCCAACAATATGGGTGTCCCTCCTAGCTAAAGTTGACGTCCCGGACGCGTCGACGCGGTCAGTTTCGTCATCCGGGGTCATCCGGCCGAGTTCGCTGACGGGCGAGTCGATTCAATTCAAAGTCGTGTGGGATGCAGTGAGGGAGTCGTGTGTGGTGCAGAGAGTGCATGAATTGCGGCGCTCACGAGTAATCGAGTCACAAATGGTTTACCTAAGGACGTACGATCCTGTAGGAACTTATTTTCGGGCCTTCCACATGCTGTTCATTAGCCCTTGCAACTAGAAGTTGAGTGCTTGGAACCACTTATGCGAGTTCTTCACAAAAATGAGTCAAGAAGTGGCTTGAAGTTCTACGGGAGGTGGGCTCCATTGCTAGTCAGCTAGGATGGTCAATAAGAACTCCTAAAGCTAGATCCTAGGTTCTAAAAGTAGGAGACTAAGACCTCACTAAAAATGAGGTCAACATCCACTAGAGCAAAATGCCAAGAGAATGCGAGAGTACTGGTTTCAACCTCTGTGAGAATAAGAGCAGGCTTCCCATTTTTTCCCCAATTTTTTTAGGAAGGTGTGATCGCCACCACTTTCAAGAGCATAGTGAAAAGATTGAGGAACATTGCAAGGTTTACCTATACGAAAACCAGTCTTTGATTCTAAACGAAGAGCATCAGTAGGAATTGAGAGGTCGGCGGCAAGTGCAGTAGCATAAAAATGGATAGCCATCTCTGCCTACAAGATTATGTCGGACAGGAAGCGAGGAGACGACGTCGTCTGAAAGGAAATGTGAAAACTCGAGCAGAGCAGTGTGACAAACGCGACCAAGCGAGCAGAGCAGCAGCTCTATCTCCAGACCGAGACGACGCGAGGACTGCGAAGGAGGCGTCCTAGACAGACGAGGACGTCGTCTGGAAAGAAATGAGAAAACTCTGCCTGCCTCGTCGTCTGGAAGGATGCGAAGACGCGAGCCTGCAGCCAGAAACACGACGAATGTGAAGCCAAAGAGACGATGCGAACACCGACGTCGACGAAGACGATGCAGGGAAATAGAAACGCGAGAGAGATCCGTGTAGCAGATGGGAGATACGTGTAGCAGAAAGCTAGGGTTTGCCATGAGGCGAAACCCTATAAACTGTTTCAATGAGATAATATTGATAAGCATAGATGATGGGCCTAATAAGAGCAGTAATAACCTTGATATGAAGAGTTAACAAATTTATACAAGTGATTGACAAACTTCCTATTCCGGGGTGGTTGTCAGAGACCGACATGTTATAGATAATATCACTGATAGAAAAAATCCTCTTCAACGAAACATCCTTTGAAACATTCTCATGCATAAAATGCATTGTGGAAGTTCATTGTTATTTAGCATTCAGATTCCTACCATTCATTTATTCCACAGTATTTTTCCTTCCTTAATAGTTGTTCATCCTAGTTATTTCTACTGCATGGTTGGTCAATTATAGTAGTTATGATACTTTGTTATGGTGTGCCTTGTTAACTATGCCATGTTATCAGTCATATTGTCAACCATATTCTTTATGGTAATGAGTCGGCAAGCAGATTTCACATATTCTGTTTGTTTCATGCTAACTCAAACCTGCTAATTTTATGATTCTTCGATTATTGGTTGTGCATCATTGAGAGAGGCAGTGGGCGAAACCAAGTTATTGTGAGGGTGGGCAATGGAGCCAAATTATATTGAGGGGGGGGGCAATGGAACTATGTTATAGTGACGGTGGGCAACAAAGCCAAATTATATTGAGGGTGGGCAATGGAACCAAGTTATAGTGACGGTGTGCAAGTTCCATGGGTGTTTGACCAACCTTATGTATTAATTTTGCCCAATCCCGATAGCCCAACTTAACCACTTTATTTTTATTTTCCTTAAATTTATATTGCTCTCTACTTATATTTCCTTTTTATAAATTTAATGATATTATTGTAGCAGTTATTTGCGTTTTTTTTTTTTCTTGAAACACTAATTATGTATATTTTTATTTATCCAGTTATTATTTTTATTAGTATTATTATTTAATTTATTTATTATTTGATACTTAAATTTTTGCCCACTTGAAAAAAAATTGTTGGTTTCGTCCCCACAGAAAGAAATAAACATATTTATGCTTCACACATTGTGTGCGGGCCAAAGTGGGGGTATTAAGGTTACATTAAGTTATTTCAAGTAATCTATGTCTCTTCTAAGATTCATTATTGTAAATAAAAAAATTCCATATAATTTTGTTGGGATAAATTATTGGATTTCATAGATTTTTAGATGCTCGGATCATATTATTAGTGGGTAAATATAATTGTGGACACATCTGCTGAAGTAACTCTAAATTTATCAAATCACGCCATTCTACTGAAATGCTACTGATATTTGGTTGCTTAAATTTTGCAAGGATAGCAATACCAAAGGTAAAAACTGCTTTCAAACCTATATTCAGCATTTGATTGTAATATAATTGAAATTCTATCACATGAACTAAATTAGTCTGGATATCTGTATCTGAATTACTTGCAGTGCAATTAATTCAAATTTATTTGAAACCACATTGTATCCTACTTACCCAGCTTATGAAATGAAATATTCCTTGTGTGATGTATAGCAGACCAGTGCGTATAAAGGAAAATGCTCATGCGTAGGCCTGTACACCAAGGACACATAAAATTATGTGAATTTTCTTCAGAAGAATCATCCTCTTTTTTGCTTTTTTCTTTTACTCCTCAAATACTTGGAAAGTTTTAACTATGGTAATATTTGTTTGGAAATTCAAACCAGACTATATTACCGCCTTCAACTTCACTTTTATAACAAGCTACAAATCTTTTTTGTCTTTGTTACCGAAGAACATAAGTTGCCAATTACAAACACCATAACAATAATATTAATTATTTATGAATATCTCTGCAACCACCACCATACAGTCCTTTCAATCCTTGATGCTCCAGATCCTATACATTGTGCCTGATTTTACTACAGTTTACATTAAGGTTGCCATGCATCTCTGTTGATTGTCAATTTCCACTGCAAATACCATTTGAAACCTGCCACATAGTCGTTGCCCTTACCAGGTGACGCTGTACTATTCAGGATTAGATTTTTTAATGTAATTAGTGTAAAGTTTAGCAAAATTTTATGGAATGAAAAATTGAGGACTCACATAACACAATCTACAAATTAAGTCAGCTTGCTTTTTATAAATGTAACCAGGTAAAATTGGAGTTCAAAACCAACTGAAAATAAATTATTGAAACAATATGAGAATTTCATCATAAAATTAAAATCATATAAATTCGGTGAGTAATTTGAATTTAATTTCTAATTTGATCCAAAATTAAAAGCACTAAACAAGTTTATATCAAATAATGTTGATGAAATAGAAATAATGAATAAAAATAAAAAAGAAAAATAGTATCACCTCAGTACAATTAGATAACTTTTTCTAGAATTAGATAGTCATGTTTGTGCTATTCTTGAAAGAATTGCAAATCCAACTAATACTCATGATATAGCAACAAGAAAGAAAACTTTTATTTAAACTAGAATTATGAAGTACATTCCCAATAACATTTATTTATAAACTTCTCAAAACATTGCCCAATAGATAAAATTAACATATGATCAATCAGAATGAACCTTAAACTAATTCCAAAAGATAAAAAGATGCTTACTTTAATTTTAGCTTCCATAATCATCCAAATAGCAACAGCCACAAATCCCGTCCCTTCAGAGGAGGAAAAACCCACAAAATACAAACCCGTTTCATAATTTTATGCAAATCACATCATCAACGCCACAATTTAGGATTCATAACAACTACGGAAGCCACAGCATACAAATATAGGATCCCCATAAAATATGGAAACCAAAAAATTGCAGTCCAAATTCCACCGCATGAAGCTGCTTGTAAATAACTCCAAACCAAATCTCCAAACGAATCAAGAAAGAAACCTATACAAATGATTCTAAGACTCTACCGCCAAACACTAGCACCGAATTTTCCATAATCAAAGGAATAATGCAGCCACGTGACCCGTATAATAGTGTATCAAATAAAGGTCATCAACCCCTTATGTCTCCAACTTACAATAACCAACAGTGGGAACTAATTTAAACTAAATCAACCATATATATAGCTTAACTTAAAGCAGAAAATAAATATAACCTTTCTCGGGCATTTTCACTACCATATTCATAATTACATAAAGCAATCAACTAAATAAAAAAAACAAATAACTATACACAGATAATTACTTGATGGGATACCTTCAACAAGAATAAATACAGAGATTTTCATCAATAGGTTTTGCTGCTTTCATCCATTTTACAAATAATAATATAACATCTCCAATTCATTCAAATTTATGGAGGCAGGAAATTATCCAAATGTTTTAAAAAGGTTTAGGGGTGTCCGCAGAAGTATCAGGCATTCATTCCCAATCTGCATAAATAGTCGTCTCAGGCATTCATTCCCAATACACATCACTCACACACATGTTTCATAAATAGTCCAATGTTTAACAAAGAATGTCCGAATGTCCGCAAAAGTATTTATCATGCAAAACAGAATTGATTCATTTAAGTCTATTATCACTCATTAGATTCAGTCAAGGCGCATAAAATTCAACAAGATGTATGAAGGAAACTAACCTTGAAGCAGCAACAGCATGTCCTAGTTCATGAAATGTGACAGAAACCACTGTTGAAAATGCCACAACAGCAAAATCCATAATTGATATGCTTAAACCCAAAACCTACCACAAATAAATAACGAGTTATAATATTTGTGTTTATCACGATGAAAGTAAGCTAAATATTCCAAGCACTAACCGATGGAGCAGTGCCCCAAAAAAGGCTAAGTGGTATATCCTTCAAACCAAACCTCCAGCTGTGGAGATGGAAAACTGCAGCTGCTTCCCAAAATAATATCTGAAATCCATACAAGAGAAATGAGAAATAGAGTCAAATCAGCAGTGATCGAATGCATGGTGCACTTTTATTCATTTTATGAAAAATTTGATCAAGCAACAAAACATAAGTCATTCTATGCAACAAAAAAGGGGGCATTTACATACATACCACACAATCATATGCATTTACATATCCAACACCTAAACTTGCTTTTTTACATTAATACCACATAAATATTTTATATCACATCAAAAACACCACCATTTTAACTTTTAAAAATGAAATACCCTGTAATGCAAATGTAAGGTGGTCCGCAGGTAAAAATTTAAGTTTAGGTGTTAGATATGTAAATACATAGGAATTGAGTGATATGTATATAAATCTTCCAAAAAAAAAATAAATACACGGGCAGCAGATATATGAGCAATCACTGTATGACACAACAGATGGAAGCAAAGATACTGCACTGAACCATAAGAATTCAAAGCTAATTTTCCTAGCCATATGATACGAGCGAACGACACAACGGTTTATTATTATTATTATTATTATTATTATATATACAAACATACATATATATATCTATATATATATGGAGAGAGAGTGAGTGAGTGAGAGAGAGAGAGAGAGACACACACACACACACACAAAGTGCAAGGCAAGTTAATAGCAACGGTTAATAGACAAAGACAATACCACTGTAATACTAAACAAAGATATCACACTGAAAGCAACCCCCACCGTCATCCAATTATGGAGGAATCTGTATCAGACCAAAAAAATCCAGATTTAGTTGCTCAATCAAGAGAATATCAGGAAAAAAATATAAGATGTTTAGGTTGATTTTATGGTGCATGAAAGAAAACTCTTTAGCATGGGATAAGAAATAATGACCACTGAAAGTTTATGCACCATCAAACTTTAATAAAATGTTGCCACATTTTCAGGAGGGTATGTAATTACCCAATGGCTTATGAGCGCTGCAGATTCTAGTTTATCAAGAGACGACTAAAGAAAATCTCCTAGTACTTCAAAGAGTCTTTAGGGAGTGAGAAATTTGGAGAGGGTAAGACATCATAGGGGTCCTAATGCAACTAATGAAGCAATTGATAAATTTCATAAAATTTGAATTTAGAAATTTTTAGTTTCAAAGGAAATTGTTGATATGCATATCTAGTTTAGGAAATCAAGGGTTAGCTACTACATTTGAGGACGAGAAATTATTCCCCCTTATTATCCATTATTGTGTTTTTATTTCTTTCCTTTTATCATGATGATTTGATTTTCCCTCCAATTCTATGAGTGTTAGTCTGAGCTGTAAATATATTTGTTATGAGGATATTAAAGAGTTTATTCCTCCCAAAAATCAACATAGTATTAGAGCAAGGAAACAAACTCTAGCTCTTCTTTTAGCCGCTAGAGCCTCTCCAACAGTTATAGGGCAGCAAGAATCTTCCCTATAATTGTCGAAATTCCTCTGATCTCGCAACTCGGTCTCCTCCAGACAGTAACGACCCGAAGCTACGTACTCCAATTTCTAGCAACTAAGCTCAAGTTCTGCGAGCCATATTTATGCATTCAAGCAACTCAAATTTGTGCATTCCCAAGACCCATCACAGGCCCTGCGACCCAAATCCGCGCGTTCCAACAACCCAGACGCGTGATTTTTGACATGTGGATTCCTACAACCCGCGCATTCCAGTGACCCAAACCGTGATATTTTTACCTGCAGACTCTTGCGACCCATAAGTGCACTTTTTGACTTGCAAACTTCTTGCAATTTTTTCTCCTGCAGATCAACAACATATTGTTTTATCTCTAGTGTAAATCATAAAAATTGTGGAAATCACAGAGATCTCGGAGGCCAATTTACTACAGAGACTCCGACGTCCATTTTTCTCTCTAGTGCAAATGTTGTGCCCGCGACGAACAATTTCTCTTTCTAGGGGAAACCCTGTGTCAATGACAAATAGTTTCTCTTTCTGGAGTAAATCATCATGATGATCAAATACGACATGAAAACTATTTTTTCTTTTCAGAAGTTAGTTCTAAATCTGAGCCTAGGATGGTTTGTTTTGCAGCATATGAAATCTCTTCCTGCATCACCAGGCACAAACTACATGACAATAATTTTCTCTAATGGTCTCAATCTGTGTTCATGTATATATGTGATAAAAGGAAAGATGATCATCTCATCGAGGAAAATCCTGCACTAGAGATTATTGACCCTAAATATCAAATATGGAAGATTGAAGATCACATGGTCATGTCATGGCTTGTCAACTCCAAGACCACAAAAATTAGAGAAAACTTCCTCCAGTATAAAACGAAAAATGAAAAATGGGATGCCGCAAGTGAAACCTATTCAAGTGTTGACAACACCTCTGAGTTGTTTGACATTGAATCTAGATTACATGACTTGTGGCGAGTTGAGCTGAATGTGGATATATATAAAACATACACATTGAAGTGTTCGCAAGACTTCTGCTTTTTACAAAACAATTGTTAAATAGAAGATAATCAGCAAATTTCATCTAGGACTCAATAAAGAATTAGATGGAATCGAGGGAAGAATAATAGGAACCTAACCTCTTACCTCAATTCGTTAAACTTTTGTTGAAGTACGAAGGGAAGAGAACAGGAAGAAACTCATGATAGCAAGGAATTATACTGTATCAAATATTGACAACTCAACTTTATATACTCACAAATCACCTCAAGACAACAAATCAAAGAAGAAAAGATCATGCTTTGAATATTGCAAGAAACTTGGTCATTTGAAGAAGTTTTGAAAAATATGGAAAGCCTGCGGATTAAAGTCTACAAAGTCAAAGATGATGAGAAAAATCATGCAAACAAAGAATCAAAGGAAGACAAACTTCACGAACATAGTTCATTCATTAAGGAATAGCTTGAAGCTCTCCAAAGGATTTTGAGAGAATATTTTGAACCTTCTATTAGCCATCTAGCACATCAAGGTAGTCTTTCAACTGCTCTAATTGTTCTCAAGAAGAAAAAATTAGCCTTGGATAGTTGTTGACTCTGAAGAATCAAACCACATGACAGGTAATGTTACTAATTTCCAATTATTCTATATTTGCAAACACCATATTGCAATTAGAATCGCAGATAGTTGTCTCTCATTTGTGGAAGGAAGAGGAAGTGTGAAACTCACAAGGACCTTATTCTTCAATCCATGTTTTAAGTTCCTATATATCATTGTAATTTAATGTCTATCAGTAAACTCACTCGTGGCATAAATAGTGTTATTAAATTTATCCTAATTTGTGTGAATTTTGTGTTAGGGACTCGGAAAAGCTAATTGGCAATGTTGGAATATATCATGGACTATATGTGCTCACCATAACTCCCACGTCAAAAGAAACATCCCATCATTCAAATCTTGTATCTGTGTCTATTTCTCAAGAGAGTCAAGTTATCTTATGGCATTTTCGCCTTAGACATCCTAACTTTTATTATATTAAAAATGTGTATCCTCATTTATTTATCAATAAAAAGCCTAATTTCAATCAGTGTGAAGTTTGACAATTTATTAAACATACTCAACAAGTGTACCCAGTTCAAAAAATACAAACCAACACATCTTTTCTCCATAGTTCAGAGTAATATCGAGGGGCCTTAAAAATAAAAATAAAAATAAAAAGTTGGGGCTCGTTAGTTTGTCACCTTCATTGATGACCACACCATAACCACTTGGAACTTTCTCATAAAGAAAAAATCTGAAACTACGAGCATATTTAAAATATTCCACAACATGGTACCCAATTAATTTGAGAACAAAATTCAAATTCTCAAAATCGGTAATGCAAAAGACTATTACAACTCCACTTGGCTCTTGCATGTCCAAAAAAGTCATCATTCATATAAACTCTTGTGTTGAAACACCCCAACAAAATGAAGTAGCTGAGAAAAAAAACATATATCTCCTCGAAATTGCCCAGTCAATTCTATTTACTAAAAATGTAACTAACACTTATGGGGTGATGCATTCCTATCTTATAAATAGAATGCCTAGCAAAGTGCTAAACTTTAACAAATCTCTCAACATCTTCATAAAATCCTACTCATATATTCAGTCTTTCACCGCTAACCTACCACTAAAAATTTTTTGTTACACATTTTTGTTCATCTACACATCTACATCAACCTAAGTAGACCAGACTTGATCTCAGGTCAATCAATGTATCTTTGTGTGTTGCTCCTCAAACAAAAATGAGTATAAATGCTACACTAGAAACACAAAAATTTTACAACTCCATGGATGTCACATTCTATAAAAACTAACATTATTACCTCAAACCTAAACATTCAAAGGAAAAATTGAAGAGAATATCATATTTGAGATATCATTCAAGAAACTCAAACTAACCTCCCTTATATCCCTGGTAAACTCACTCTTGACCCCACTCTCACAAATCAACCTAAAAATGAACCTATTACTCTACTAAATGCTCTCACAACTCCCACTAAGAACCTAGAACTCTGTGTGTACGCCAGAAAGGAAAAAACCTAGTGAGTATGTAAGGGACAATATGCAAAATAAAGAATCTAAATCGCCGGACCAAATCTACATATCCCAAGTTTTCATAGAAGTTAGATCAACATATCGTGAACACCAAGAGGAAGGAGTACAATAATGGACAAACTACCCAATAGAAGAATTTGTGACATGGAAAATTATCATTCTCCTACAAACATTTTGCCCATAACTTTGATAATGTGTAGGTATCAAATTTAATCCAAGAAATATTATCTATTCCTGCTTGGAAACAGGTTGTCAGAGAAGAAATTCTTGCTCTTGAAAAGAATGGTACCTAGATTATCACAACTTTGCCACATGGGAAAAAAACTGTAGGGTGCAAACGGGTATTCACTGTTAAATACAAAATTGATGGGAGCATAGAAAGATTCAATGCTAGACATGTAGCAAAAGGTTTCACTCGGTCTTATAAGATCAACTACCATAGGACATTTACACCAGTGGCGAAACTCAACACAGTAAGAATATTACTATTTGGTTGTAAATTAGGATCAGCCTTTACATCAGCTAAACATTAAAAATGTATTTCTTAATGGAAATCTTGAGGAAGAAGTGTATATGGAAATGTCTTCATAATTAAATAATAACATAAATAACCAGCAGGTGTGCAAACTAAAGTAATCGTTGTATGGGTTGAAACAATCTCCCAAAATACGGGTTGAAAAGTTCACCAAGGCTATTTTTGCCATTGTGTATTTTCAATGTCAGGTTCATCACACTTTGTTTGTGAAATCAAATCAAAAAAGTATTATGGTCATCCTTATTATATATGTTGATGAAGGGAGGTATCAAGGATTTATGAGGAAACTTATTTATCTGTCACATATAGGACCTGACATTATTTTTTCTATAGGTATAGTGAGCCAACATATAAATGATCCAAATGAAGATCATTTAGAAGCGTTCTTTCAAATTCTAAGGTATCCAGGGCGTGAATTAACATTCAAAAAGACAGAGAACGATGACATTGAAATCTACACTAATGCTAGTTAGGCAGGAGAACTAATTGATATAAGATCTACCACCAATTATTATTCATTTGTATGGGATAACATTATTACTTGGAGAAGTAAAAAACAAGCTGTGGTGGCAAGAAACAGTGCAGAATTTGAATATCATGCCCTTGCCCTAGAAATTTGTGAAGGATAACGGATAAAGAAACTATTGGTGGAACTTCAAATGAAGAACCAAAGCACTATTGAGATGTTCAATGACAGTAAATCAGCCATCCGTATTTCATTATGATATGCAAATTTGACATAAAGTATAGAAAGTAGCTAAATTATAGTTAGAATCATCATTGCCTCAACTATTTGAATCAATTTTATTAATATTTCTCCTGCCATTCCTAATGAGGCCTACATGCTAGCTTCATATATCCTTTTGCACAACTACCTATCACATCTTTTGGATGCCCCTTCTCCATCCTATTCCTTAGACATCAATGCAATCTATCCAAATCTTGGTGCATCTTCGATAAATTGTATCTCTATTTTTTTCTGTTTTTTTTATACAACTGTATTAACATTTTCATTTTTGCCCCACTCAACTTAGTTGCCAGTCACTTCTTTCACGCCCAACAAATGTTCCCCAAATCAAACTATAAAAGAAAATTTACATGCATAGCATTATGTATTTACATATTTCACACCTAAACTTTCATGTATACATGCATAGCGCTTTGGTTCTTTAAATATTTTCAAGAAAGGATGTATTTCACTTTTAAAAAGTAAAGATAGTGCTATTTTTTTATGTGATATTAAATATTTAAGTGTTGAGTGTAAATAGGAAAGTTCGGGTGTGAGACATGTACATACATAAGAATTGGGTGCTATGTAGCTAAATGCCCTAACAACAAAATGATCCTAATTAAATAAATATATGCATAAAGAGTTGATGGAAATTTATTGTTTGTTCGAGCATTGGCTAGCACCCAAAGGAAGCCACTTTATTCAGTTGAAGTTGCAATCCAAGCAGTAAAGGGAAAGCATATAATTAAAATAAAAAAGGCAGATTATACCACAAAAAGGGGAATGGAAAAGAAAGCATACAGAGAACAAGTATAATATGATATAAATCAAAATAGATTCAAAATATCATATACTCCAAGATGGTTAAGAAACTGAAATCAAAGTAAACAATTGAAGTCATGAGTGACGTACCTGGCATATCTCTGTCCAAAAAAGTATAAATGTTCGTTGAAAGAAAAAATTTTCCAGTCACAATACCTATGCATGGATTGGAATCAGTACAGCAAGTCACATTGGTAATATTTGAATTTAACTCAATAAATAGTAAATCATGGCATGAATTCATTCCATTTGGTGTGTGGTTTTGAAGATTAGAAATTACAACAGAAAAGCCATATTGGTGGATTAAAACCAACAGATGACGAGAACAATCAGTTTTAGACTACCTGTTGGAACTCGGATAGTCAAAAAACATTTGTTGAAGTAGACTAAGATAGCCCAAAAAAAGAAAAAATATATATATAATGGTATGCCTCGCCTAAAGCTGTATTGCATTATAAGGAGAGGAAAAAATTAACCGGGAATCATTCAATACACGAAGTACCCACTTCATAAAATTTCAAAAATAAAAAATAAAAAATAAGCTATAAAACTTTAACAAAACTGGACCTCGTAATTAACATCATTGATAGTTTTTACAAGCACAGTTTGTGTGAGGATAGCACGTACCATCCCAGAAAACAGCCCCCAAGCTTTGGATAACACAAGAGTGTCTCGTCCGCCTCCTGTCCTGCAGGATTCTCCCATTGCACAGAAATTCCGCATTCCAGCGAAATCAGCCTTCCCACGATATTACGGT